ATGTCTCCTTATCGTTTGGTTTATGGAAAAGCATGTCATCTTCCTGTTGAATTAGAACATAAAGCATATTGGGCTATTAAAACTTTAAACTTTGATTTGGAGCAAGCCGGTGTTGAGAGGAAATTGAAACTTAATGAACTAGAAGAGATTAGAAATGATGCTTATGATTGTGCTAAATCATACAAAGAAAGAATGAAAAGAGTGCATGATCAGAATATTCTCAGGAAATCTTTTGAGCCTGGCCAGAAAGTCTTACTTTATAACACTCGTCTGCATTTGTTTCCTGGTAAGTTGAGATCTCGGTGGTCTGGTCCTTTCATTGTTCGCACTGTTTATTCTCATGGGGCTGTTGAAATTGAAAATCCCAAGGATGGTTCTGTTTTTAAGGTAAATGGCCAACGATTGAAACCCTTTCATGAGCTAAAATCTCCAGAGATCGAGGAGATCACAATTGAAGATCCTGTCTACCATGACTAATTTTTTTTCAGTTTATTACGTATTTGTTTTTTTTTCTTTCTTAATCTTAGTGAGTCGGCTTAAGTGCCTCCCAGAGTTCGGTGCCTTTGTATGGGGATGTATATAGTGTCGGCCAAAAAAAAAATATAACTTTTATTTTTCCTAATTATTTGTTCCTTTTGTTTTTTTTTCCTTCCTTGCCATTTGTTTCTCAGGTGAAGGGAACTTATCAGAGTGGTGCATGAAGTTGAGCCAACGACAGTAAACAATGCCACTTAGCGGAAGGCAACCAAATATTTTCAGGGAAGTTATCTTGCTTAATATATTTTTGAGATATTGATGCTTTCATTTCTTAATCTCATTCCATGTTCCATGTTTTTAATAGCTTTGTCTAGTATGTGCAAACGTCCTTTTTTTTAATAACTTTGACATGCATTGAGGACATTGCATGAATTAAGTGTGGGGGGACACTTGCATTTAGTTGTGCATTTTTTTTGGAATATACCTGTTAAAATATATTTGCATATTTTTACTTTACATACTAGATATTATAGGAGCATGGGTTAGGTAGAATTTTTTTTATTCTGCATAATAGATGCCATTTGGTTAAACAAATTCAAATTTTTTTTTTTAGAGAAAACTATAATAGTTGGAAGCATGTTTCAAAAAAAAAAAGCTTATTAGAATTCATAATATTTACTTCTTAATCTTTTAGCACTCTAAGTGTTTGTATTTTGGCATTAAATGGAAATTAATATTGTAACAAATATGTTTGAGCTTCTTAAAAAATAAGTTTGCTACTCCAAAATTAAAAACATATCTTTTAAATCAAATCTATTTAGAACTTATTTTTATTTAATCTCTTACCTTTTATTTAGTTAAGTTCAATGTGCCTAATTTATTTAGAAGTATATGGAGCAGTTTTCTAACTCTTTTTCGTCCTAAGTTTCTATTCAAGTAAAGTTAGTCTTAAGAAAATCTTTTTTCTTTTCTAAATTTTGGTTAACTACATATTATCAAGATGTTGAAATGAATATAATATATATAGTGGAACACCATCTTAGGTTGGAATGGGTGGCACGGCACCTTTGACCCCTTAAGCAACGAATCCCAAAAGGAAGTGATGTTGTGTATGGAGAAAACCTAAGTTGGAAGAGCAAACCCCGTTTTGGGCCGTAAGAATCTCGTCCATAACCAGTTTAAAATAATAACAAAAAAAACCGACGCCATTGAGCCAAAAAAAAGAAAAAAAAGTGCAATAAATGGCTAGGTAAAAAAAAAAGTAAAATAAAAGATAATAAATGAATAAAACATTGTTTGAGCACTCGAGTTGAAACCCTCGGAATACTTCGTTTATTTAGGTCCTGGGCTATCTGGAATGGGCCTGGGGTAGCCTGGTTGAGACTCGCTACACGGGTCAACTCAAACAATGAAAAAATTAAATACCAAATAAAAGCAATAAATCGAAGTTTCCAGATTTTAGAAAAGAAAATAAATTTTCTTGAGCATTTCTTTACTTGATGGTTCCTTAGGATTTCTAACCACTTTTTGTTGCTCTATGTATTTCTTTTAAATTATTCTCAATGACCTTAATTAAATCAAAGTTTCTACATTGAATAAAAGTAATTTCTATTTAGTTTTGAAGTGAAAGAATTGTTTAAAATCTAAAGTAGCAAATTGATTTTTAAAGTGTTCATTCTATTTGGTATATGATTAACTTCTTATTAGTGTTCAAATACATCACTCTATATTGTTATAAGATAGAGAAGTTATTTTGAGTTCTAATATTAAAAAAAAAGAGTTATGATTTTTGGTATTTACTTTGCCCGAGGACGTACAAAGGACTAAGTGTGGGGGTATTTGATACGTTACAAATTGTCACATTTTATTTGGTCATACTTTAGTTCTTTATTATATTTTTAATGAATTTTATGTTGAAATAAATTACATAATGAAATATTTAGCTTTTTAGGCTACTTGTTATATTTTCACACTAAAATCATAAGTTGGGTAAAGTTTTTATTTTATTTCATGTTGAAATTAATTTCTCTTATATGTATTTTCAGATATAATCTTTGGAATAAAAAAATGGATGTTAAATTCAAGAGATGGAGACTTGGGCCAAGCTTTAATGGATTAAAGAGTGCTAGTTTTTGATCCAATTGCTATACAAATCCAACCCAACCCACATTAAACCTAAAAAAAAGACAAACATGATGGATATAAAGAGAAGAGCCGCATCTCAAAGGAAGGGAGGGCTGGAAACGGAAAAAAACGGAAGAACGGAGAGCAGCTTCGAGCGGCGGCAATGCTCTCCCGCGAGTCTTCCGACCTTCAGTGACGGCGGCGACGAATCTGGAGCGGCACTGCAACAGCACGGCCCTTCTTCTTCCTCCAATTTCAGTGTTTAATTCTTCCCTTCTTCTTTAATTATGTCAAGTTTTACTATCAATTTTGTTGAATTTTACATTATGTTTGGCTAAACTCCATAGCTAGGGCAAGGATGAAACTTATATATTCTATTTGATTTTTACTCTTGATTTATTTTTCCATATTGATCTTAAATGTTTATTGTCAATTTTTCCAATTGATTATTAAGGTTAATTTTTAGATGAGTTCAATCATGTTTTTCTCATGCTTTGAATAATCCTGATAATTGTTTGACAAGTTAAAAGAGCAAATATTAGTTGTGATTTCTTGATGAGATACAATTAATGATTTGAATTTCTCTTGAAACTTTGAAAAATAACATATTTTAGAAATTGTTTTTTAGAGCTTAATTGACATATCCTCCATGATAACGAGACTTGGTTGCGAGATTATCATGCGTATTGTGTTTGGAAAAAAATAATGATTGAGTAAAAATTACATTTGAATATATAAGTGGATTCCAAGTCCTAGTTCTTTCTCATATTTGAAAACTTATTTTTAATCTTTTAATTTTTTTAGTAGTTAGAAAAATCTTTAGTTTTTGTTTATATTAAGCTTTCTTTAAAATTAGTCACTTTCATATTTAGTTGTTTTTTTTAAATATTAAACTTTGTCCAACCAGATTAGAAATATTCAATTGTATCTAGAATAAAATTCTTCACATAATCAAGTCCCTGTGGGATCGACCTCGTATTTGCATTGCTATACTTTCGTACGGTTCGTGCACTTGCGAGTAAATAAAATATCAACAACATCTGCCCGTATGAAGGCCGCTTCTCGCCTCTCGTGTACGAGATGGAGCTCGGCTGCCAGGGCTTCTTCGTTACGCTCAGGGTCGAAGACCTCCTCCCGGTGAGTTGCGATGGAGATCTCTGCAGGGGCCCTTGCCTCGAATCCGTAGCACAAGGCGAAGGGGGTTTCCCCGGTTGCCCTCCTAGGCGTAGTCCGGTAGGTCCATAGGATATAAGGCAACTCCTCTGCCCACTCTCCTCCGCAGGCCTCCAACTTCCGCTTCAGCCCGTCGACTATCGTTCGGTTGGCATTCTCAACCTGTCCGTTCGTCTGAGGGTACCCAACCGACGCATAGCTGTGCTTGATCCCCCAACTCTCGAGGAAGGCATTGAAGGGCTTGGACTCGAATTGTGTCCCATTGTCTGTGATTATGTGCTCGGGAATGCCGAAGCGACAGATGACTTGCTTTGCGAGAAACTTCTGGCATTGAGCTCTGGTGATGCTTGCCAATGGGGCTGCTTCCACCCACTTAGGGAAATAGTCAATGGCTACGATGACGTACCTCACGTTCCCGGTGCCCCTTGGGAGTGCACCCACGAGATCCAACCCCCATCGCGCGAACGGGATGGCTGTGCTGATCGGGGTGTAGTTGGTTGAAGGCATCCCCGGTACCTTCTGGAACTCTTGGCACACTTTACACTTCTTTACGAACTCCGCGCAATCCTTAACAATTGTTGGCCAAAAATATCCTTGAAGGGTTATCTTCCTTGACACCGCATATGCTCCTTGGTGGGCGGAGCAGATTCCGGCGTGCACCTCCCCCATGACTTGTTTCGCTTCGGCCGATCGGAGGCACCTAAGTAGCGTCCCGTTGTATGCTCGCTTGTATAGCTTCTCGCCTTCCAAGGTATACCCCGGTGCCCTTGTCCGGACCAACATGGCCTTCATCGACTCGTCTGGGAGGGTGCCATCCTTCAGGAAGGCTACTATGTCGTCCGTCCAATTTCTTGGCTGAGCACAGATCATTGCCACGGGGAAGGCATGGATGCTCGGCTCGGACAGCTCTTCCACATTCGCCATTCGCCTGATGTGCTCGAGCGTGTCTGAGCTCAGCTTCGACAAGATATCCGCCTCGACGTTCTCCGCCCGAGGGATCTGCTCGACACTATACGCGGTGAAGCTTTTAAGTAGTTCTAGAGCCGTATCTCTGTATTTCTTCATTCTTTCGTCCTTCGCCTCGAACTCTCCCGACACATGGCCAACCACCAATTTCGAATCACACTTTATCCTTAGCTTTGTCGCGTTCATCCCGGCTGCCAGACGTAACCCGCACAAGAGCGCTTCATATTCCGCCTCATTATTTGATGCCTTGAAGCCGAATCGGACTGAGTAATATGCTCTGAAGCCTTCGGGAGCGATGACTACCACTCCACCCCCCGAGTTTTTGGCGGCGGAGGAGCCGTCGGTAAAAACTGTCCACCAATCGTCGGTTTCAAGTTCCGCGCTCGGCTCTTCTCGAGCGGTGCATTCTACCACGAAGTCAGCCAGCGCTTGGCCTTTGATTGCTTTCCTTGGCTTGAACTCGATCAGGAAGGCTCCAAGGAACACCGCCCACTTGGACATGCGAGAGGGCGCGTTCGGACTCCTGAGCAACGCACCTATGGGCTGCTGGGAGAGCACTTGAACCGGGTGAGCTTGGAAGTAGGGCGTCAACCGCTGCACGGTCGAAACCACGGCCAGCACTGTCTTTTCGGCCACCGAGTACCTGAGCTCGGCACCCCTCAGCGTCTTCGCCGTGTAGTACACTGGGTGCTTAGCTCCGCCTTCTTCTCGGACTAGGACCGAGCTTAGTGCCTTGGGCGACACTCCCAAATAAAGATACAAGGTCTCTTCGGGCTCGGGCTTAGCGAGGACCGGCGCAGAGAGGAGATAAGATTTCAGGGATTCAAAGGATTGCTGGCAGTCTTTCGTCCATACGAATCCTCGAGATTTCTTCACGGCTTGGAAGAAGGGAGCGGCTCGGTCCGCCACTTTGGAGAGGAAGCGGCTGAGCGCCGCTAACTTTCCGGTCAAGCGCTGCACCTCCTTGACATTTTGCGGGGCCTCCATGTCAAGGATGGCGCGCACCTTCTCGGGGTTGGGCTCGATACCGCGCCTGCTCACCATGTGTCCCAAGAACTTACCGCCTTGAACGTTGAACGTGCACTTCTTCGGGTTCAGCCGAAGGTTGTACTTCTCCATAATCTTGAAAACTCCTTCTAAGTCTTCCGCATGGGTGGTTGCCTGCTTGCTCTTCACAATCATGTCGTCGACGTACGCTTCCATGCTCTTCCCGAGGACGGGCGCGAAGAGCTTGCTCACCATCCTAGGGTAGGTTGCCCCGGCGTTCTTGAGTCCAAAAGGCATCACCTTGTAACAATAAACTCCACCGGGGGTAGTGAAAGACGTCTTCTCTTCGTCTTTAGGGTGCATTCTGATTTGGTGGTACCCGCTGAAGGCGTCCATGAAACTCATGAGCTCGCAACCCGCCGTCTCATCCACCAGCTGGTCGATGTTCGGGAGTGGGAATGGATCCATGGGGCATGCCTTATTTAGGTCGGTGTAGTCCACACACATCCTCCAGGTGTTTCCCTTCAGAGCCAACACTACGTTCGCCATCCATTCCGGGTACTTGACTTCTCTGATATGCCCAATGCTCTGGAGGGTGGTCACTTCCTTGGAGACAAACTCCCTCCGCTCGGACGAGAGGAAACGCTTCTTCTTCTTCACCGGCCTAGACTCCGGGTTGACTGCCAACCGGTGGCATATGATCTTGGGGTCCACCCCCGGCATATCCCCAGGTCCCCACGCGAAGATCACGCGGTAGGCGGCGAGCACGTCCACCAAGCGCCTCCGCTGGCTCGTCGTCAGGCTCGCCCTGACCTTAACCTTCCGCTCGGGTATCTGCGGGTCGAGCGGCACTTCCTCGACTTCCTCGCGGGCTCGACCTTCGGCCGAGCTTCCAGCTTGCGCATTTCCTCCTGCGCGTGCACGACCAGCGTCTCATCCCTTGGTAACTTCTTCGTGATTCAGACGTAGCACGATCGAGCTAACTTCTGGTCTCCCCTCGCCACCCCGATCCCGGACGGAGTGGGGAACTTCATGCACAAGTAGTACGGGGAGATCACACATTCCAAGTCCTCAAGGCCGGGCCGTCCCAGAATCATGTTATGCGCACAGTTGATGCTCACAACCATGAACTCCATCTTCAGCTTGGCCTTGTGCGCACCATCCCCTACTATCACGGGCACAGCGATAACTCCCTCGGCCTCGATGGAGTCCCCCGTGAATCCGGAGAGAGGAGTGCGCACAGGCCTTAAGTCCTTGCGGTTCAAACCGAGGTCTTGGAATGTTTTCTCATACATTATGTTGACTGAGCTTCCCGTGTCCACCAAGGTGCGGTGTACTATGGCGTCGTTGATCTCTATCTTCACGACTAAGGCATCCCGGTGGGGACTCAGCGTGTTCGGAAGATCCTTCTCCGTGAATTGGATCTGCTCTCGTCTTCCGAGCTTGGGCGCCGGCGCCTGATGGACCTTGGCGACAAAGACCATGTGCTTCCACCTCTTCCTCTGAGCGACGGAGTCCCCGCCAATGTTTCCCCCATGGATAAATCCCACTGGATATCCTTGGGCTTCGTCTTCGTCTAGATCGTCGCACTCCCGCCCGATGTGCCTCTTCTCGGGGTTCCTTGCCTTCGTCGCCACTGCGACAGGCTCAGTCGGCTTCCTCCAAGTTCTTCCTTCCGGCGGCCCCCGGGAGGGGGTAGCCGCATCGTCTCGCGGAGGCGGCCCTCGGGCGATGAGTCGCTGCATTTCATTCTGAAGAGTGAAGCATTCCTTAGTGTTATGAGTGTTGTTACGATGGTACTCGCAATACTTGGCTCCGCTGGACACCGCGTAAGCCTCTACGTGGGGGAGCGGGGAGAGGGCAAGCTCTCGACCCGTCCCCACGGGGACGCCCACGGAGTACACTCCGGCCGAGGGCGTCCTCGGGCCCGCGGTATAGTCTTTCTTCTTCTTCCTCTTCTTCGCGGTCTCTCCCGAGTCCGCTGGAGCTCGCTTGGCCGGCGCGGCCTCGGAGTCTGGGGCGTCGTCGAACTCCTTCCTCACCTCTCCGCGGGGAAGGGCTGCTTGGAACATGGCAACCAACGCTTGGTCATCCGCCCCGTGCACGTCTCTGGCTTCCTTCTCCCACCGGACTATGAAGTCGCGGACCTTTTCTCCCTTGCGGATGCATATGTTGAGCAGGTGGGAGTAAGGTAGCCTCTGCCTTCGGTTG